CGGCCGGACCCCCGGGCCCCTTCCCGGCGCCGCCCGCGGAGCGCCGGGGGGGTCCGTGGAGGGATCCCTTAGGGAGCCCCCGGGGGAGGCGAGGCCTCCCGGCCGCCCCCGCGCGCGGGGACGCTCCCGCGCGTTGCGCAAGGCTCGCATTCCGGCGGCTCCGCTCTCCCGAGGGACTTTGCTTCCACCGGGAAGTGGCTCTGCGGAGCTTCCGTGTGCCGCAGGGATCGCGGCGGCGCCGCGGATCCCTCGGGAGGGCCGAGCTGCCCGTTTCCTCCTTGCCCGGCTTCCCTGTTCGCTTTGCCAAGCCGGCTCGGCGGCTTTGAGGCAGGGCGCGGCGGCTGGTCCCCATTCCAGCGCGGTCCCGGAGGATCCGGCTGCTCCCGGGTGTCACCCGCTTCAGCGGGATCCCTCGGCGCAGCCGCCKTTGCTCCTGCAGGTGCCCTTGCTCGGGGACTTCTCTCCGGAGGGGATGATGGCCAGCGACGGCGGGGACGATGCCGCCGAGCTGGAGGCGGAGCTGCTGGCTCTCGTGGGAGGCCAGCCGGATCCCAAGGGAAAACCCAAGGGGAAAAGTAAGTGGCATGGCCTCGGGGCAGGATATATCCGCGTGGGAAGGCCCCTCTGCTGGGAATTGCTCCAGCTGGTTAGGCTTGTGCCACTTGGAAAACCTCCCTCTGGATCAGACTCGCTGCCCTGCTTGGTTTTCCACGTCTTTCCGGATGCGGACCCCGGAGCTGGGGTGGGAAGGGATTGCGGGATCCCAACGCGGTCCGTGGCGCTTCCCTCTCTGCAGCGGCCTTGCCCATGGAAGCCATCGAGAGGATGGCTGCTCTCTGCATGAAGGACCTGGATGAGGAGGAGGGAGACGACGAGGAAAACCTGGAGGACGAAGAGGACCTCATGGTACGCAGGGCGCCGCGGGACACGGGAGACGCGGGGAGAGCGTCCGCGTGCCTGGCAGCTCCGTAGCGCTGCCGTTCCCTGCCGCGGGACACGGGAGACGCGGGGAGAGCGTCCGCGTGCCTGGCAGCTCCGTAGCGCTCCCGTTCCCTGCGTGCGCCTCTCCGTGCTCCGGCCGCGTTGGGATCGGTGGGATCTAAGGAGGTTTTCCGCCCTGGCTGGTCATTACTGGAATTCCTGGCCGGCAGGCAGAGCTGCAGGAGGTGCTTGGCGAAGGGGAGGAAGGTGCCGACGTCCCCGCGCCGGCTGCCAAGGTAGGAGCCTCGTCTCTCCCTGTGCTTCCTCCGCTGCTCCCAGCGGCAGAGCCCCTTTCCGGGTGCAACGTCGTTTACTGGATCTCCCCGAGGAGCAAACGGGAATCCCTCGCGCAACACCCTGATGGGAAACAGGGATACGGTCCGCAGGGAAGCCCAAACCCGTGGCTGTGTAACCGGGGAAGCTCGGCAGCTTCCCGGGTGGACTCTCCATGAAAATGTCGTTTCCAACCGTAACGATGCGCTCGTTTCCCCGCGGGCTCCCGCAGGCGGGCGAGGCGCCGCCGGAGCGCGGCGGCCTGGAGGCCACGCTGGCCGAGAGGGCGGCCATGTACCGGGCGGCCGCGGACAGCGCCAGGGAGGCCGGCGACGGCGCGCGGCTGCGCCGCTACGAGCGCGGCCTCAAGGTGACCGCGTCCCGCCGCGCCTCTCGTTGAGCGCGCCGCCTTCGGTCCCGCCTTGGCCCTTCGGTCCCTTTTCCCCGYGGCCCTGGGTGCTTCGACCCCCGCTGCTTCCAGGGGCTGAATTTGCCCCGAGTTCTTGGGAAATTGGGTTCAGAATTTGGAGTTTGATGGTGGGCAAAAACCTGGGARCACCTGGGTGCCGTAACCGGCTCCGAGGCCGCGTTACGCACGGAGCTCTCTGGCACGGCCTGGATCATCGTAGCACAGCGTCCTATTCCCGGCCACTCAGGGTCCCTTCAGCCCCGCGAGGAGCCCGGGGAGGTTCCGGAGGGCGCTGAGGAGGTTTCCGAGCCTCTTTTCCTTGGTGTTTGCTCTGTGGCAGACGCTGGAGAACATGCTGAGCTCGGCCAGGAAGGGGAAGCACGTCGAGGAGCAGGACATCCCGCCGCCCGTGGCCCTGGGCCGGAGCCCCGCGCCGGGCGCGCGCCCCGTTCTCCCCAAACCGCCCCCCGTTCTCCCCAAACCGCCCCCCGTTCTCCCCAAACCGCCCGCCGTTCTCCCCAAACCGCCCGCCGTTCTCCCCAAACCGCCCGCCGTTCTCCCCAAACCGCCCGCCGTTCTCCCCAAACCGCCGCTCCCGGCTTCGCCCGGCGCCTCCCCACAGGAAAACGCAGCTTCTCCCCCCGCGACTCCTCGTCCAGGTGACGTCTCGGGGTGTCCCGCCGCGCGGACGGTCCCTGTATCCCGCCGCGGACGGGGAGAGCTGCTCCGAACGCCCCCATTCCCTTTATTCCCCGCGCAGCTCCCGGCCCGGCGGCGCTCCTGCAGAGCCGGCAGCGGGAATACAAGCTGGCCGCGCTGCACGCCAAGCAGCGGGGGGACGTGGAGGTGGCCGTGAGATGTTTCCGCCTCGCCAAGGTGCCCCGCAATTCCTGCGTCACGGAGCCTTCCCGGGAACCGCCCGTTCTGATGTTTCTGTGGGGCTCTCTGCAGAGCTTGGACGCGCTGCTGGAAGCGGCGGGGAAGGGCCAGCCGGTGGATCCCAGCAGCATTCCCCCTTCTCCCGGTAAGCAGGGAAGCGGCGGCGCGTGGGCGACGCTCCGAGGAAGGACGGCCATTCCCGAGCCTGGGAAGCGCCGGCAGGGTGCACCAACCTGCCTGCTTCCYGCTGCATTCCTCGCCGCTCCTTTATGGACTGATCCCTTCCTCCCTTTTCCCAGACCAGCTTCCCAAGGAGCTGCCATCTCCCGGCCAGCAGCATCCCGCGGCTCCAGCGGCCGCTCCCGAAGCCCCGCTGGCCTCTCCGGCGCCGGGTAGGACCCCGACCGGTCCCAACTCGGCGGAGGAGCCGGGGGGAGCCCTGACGGAAGCGCTTTTCCCGGGAGCAGCCGTTCCCGCCGCGCCTCGGGAYGCGCTGGAAGCGCTGCAGCAGCGCATGGAGAGGTACAGAGCGGCGGCCGCGCAGGCCAGGGCCAGAGGGGACGACCGCAAAGGCCGCRTGCACGAGCGCATCGTGAAGGTGAGGGCGGCGCGCGCGGCGGGCACGCGTGCCACGAGCGCGCCCGGCCTCAGCGCTGCCTGCCTCCCGCAGCAATACCAAGACGCCATCCGGGCCCACAAAGCGGGAAAGCCGGTGGACTTCTCGGAGCTCCCCGTCCCGCCAGGTAGTTTTCCTGGGAATGGCAGCAGGCGTCTCTGGGGTCCGTTTGGTAAAACCCCTCTGGGTGTCGGGTGGATTTGGTCCCGAATGCAGCCGGGAGCCTGGCTAGGGACACACCAGGTGATCCGGGATTGCCGCAGCCGCTTCCATCCCCTTTCCCAGGCTTCCAGCCCATCCAGGGCGTGGAGGCGCCGGCGGGAGACCAGAGCATCGCGGGCGTCTTGGAGAGCGCCATGAAACTGGCCAGCCAGGAGGTGCAGGAGCCCGACGAGGAGGATGAGGAGGCGAAGAAGGTGGGATTTGCAGCCGGACATCCCTCGGGAGCCGCCGCGCTGCCGCACAAAGCCAGGCCGGGGACGGGAGCGCGTCCCCCGTGCGGGTCACCCTCCTCTTCCTCTTCGCAGCCGCCCCTGACGGTTTTTCTGCCTGTTTTTCGTCCGCAGCCCCTTCCCCGTCCCGCTGCGCCGAGAGCGGCCGCCCCGTCTCAGCCCAAAGAGCCGCCGCCGCCGCGGGCGTCTGCCACGGGCGCCCCCCCGGGCAACCCCAAAGCGGCTCCCAAGGCCACCACGAAAGGTACCGGCTCCGATCCCGGCTCCGGGAATGCCGGAGCCGCTGGGATGCTCCGCGCGTGCTTGGTGCTTTGACACGGGCGTCAAAATGCAACCGGGGGCTCTTCACAGAGCGGAGGATTGGGCAGGAAACATGGAAGAGGGGAGGATTTGGGGAGAGACTTCCCACCGGGAATGGGGATGCGGGCGCAGGGATGGTTTGCCCAGGGAAGTGGGGCAGCAGGCTGTGTCCGAGCGCAGGAGGCGGCTGGAACGCCGCTTGGGAGCAGATGGAGGGAGACCCTGCGGCTTCCCCGGCGGCTGCTCCGAGCTTTCCGTGCGCGCCCGCGGGGCTCCAGCCTCTCCCCGCTCCTGCAGCCCAGCAGCAGCTGGCCTTCCTGGAAGGCCGGAGGAAGCAGCTGATGCAGGCGGCGCTGCGGGCCAAGCAGAAGAACGACATCGAGGGCGCCAAGCTCTTCCTGCGGCAGGCCAAGGGCCTCGAGCCCATGATCGAGGCGGCGCGCGGCGGCCTTCCCGTGGACATAACCAAGGTGAAGCGCTTCCCGCCCTGCCTGCGCTCCCGGATCCGCGCGCTGCGCTTCCCGGGGCTGCCCCGGCGCCGTCCCCGCGGCTCTGGATCAATCGGGTCTTCTTGGGGCGCTGCTCTTTGCAGTGCGGGGGGTCGGGGAGGAGTTTCCCGGAGGAGTTTCCCGATGCAATCCGGCGCCTTCCTCCCGTGCAGGTGCCCGAGGCGCCGGTGAACAAGGAGGACTTCGTGCTGGTGCAGCGCCGCGGCGTGAGCATCTCCCCGGAGGCCGCCAGCCAGTACATGGAGCTCATGAGGCTGCTCCGGCAGCAGCACGAGGTGGGAAGCGCCRGGGGGCCGGGGGGGCCGGGGGCGCCGCGCCCTGACCCGCTCCGCCTCCCGCATCCCAGATGTGCGTGACCTACTCCAAGCAATTCACCCACCTGGGCAACATCGCGGAGACGACCAAGTGAGTGCGCGGCGCGGCGCCCGCATCCCGGCGCTTCCCGCGCCTTTGTGCTCCCGTTCCCGTTGGGAAGCCGCGGGCCCCTCCCGCCGGAGCGGTACCCGGGGCTGCCGTGGGAGGAGTGCGGAGCAGATGGATGAACACGTCTGTCCCGGCCCTTGGCCACGTTCCCCGGGGTTATTCCGCTCCAGCTGCCTCCCATTCCCCTCCTGGGAAGAGGGATTCCCACCGCAGCCGGGAGTGGGGTACCCGGACCCAGCGGCTGCTGCTCCCTGGCCGTGCAGATCCACTGGAGTTCAGTTTGTGGCGGGGAGAGAGGAGGCCAAATTCGGGAACCTTTCCCGGTGGGAGAGGAAAGGTGTCGAGCCGGACACTGCCCCGGGCCGGCCGCTGCCCCGCGTCTCGTCTCCCTGCAGGTTCGAGCGGCTGGCCGAGGACTGCAAGGAGAACATGGAGCTGCTGAAGCAGGCGCACGCCCGGGGCTTCCCGCTGCCCCGCTACCACTACGAGCAGAGGACCTTCACCATCGTCAGGTAGGTGCCGGCGCGGCCGCGGCGCCCGCCCGCCCGCCGCCCGCCGGCAATGCCTGCGCTGTCCCCCCAGGATCTTCCCCGAGCTCAACAGCAACGACATGGTCCTGTCTGTAGTGAAGGGCATCAACCTGCCGGCGCCGCCGGGTGAGCCGGAGCAGCCCCTCTGTTAATTRCCTCTCGTTAAAACGCCGCGGAGAGGCCGGCCTGGCGCCGGCGCTCCATAACGGGCTCGGCTTTTCGCTGCGTGTTGGGGTGCGAACCCCGCGGGGAGGACGGGGACCCCCGGGCGGCCGTTCCGCTGGGCCGCACCGCTCCGTGAGGCGGCGATCCCGGYGCCGGCAGCGCCTGGGGCCGGAGCGGGCTCCGGAGGGAGGCGGGAGCTGGGATTTCGGCCGCTTCGAGCGCGGCTCGCGAGCTGGCTTTGCCTTTYCCACCCTCCAGGTGTGGCTCCCAACGACCTGGACGCCTTCGTGCGCTTCGAGTTCCCCTATCCCAACGCGGTAAGGCCACGTCCGTCCGCGCCGCGCTCCGGAGCCGCACGGGGAGGACTTGGCTCCGGAGTCCTCCTCCTCCTCCTCCTCCTCCTCCGCAGGAGGAAGCTCAGAAGGACAAGACCAACGTGATCAAAAACACCGACTGTCCCGGTAAATCCCTCGCCAGAGGGATTCCCAGCTTCCCCCGGAGCGCTGCAGACGCCTGCGGGCGTCGCGTCACCTCCTAGGGCTTTATCCCGGCGGCTGAAACGCCTCGGGCGTCCCGGGAAGCGCGGCTTAGCTCCGGCTCCCCGGCAGAGTTCAACGAGCAGTTCAAGCTCTACATCAACCGCGGGCACCGGGGCCTCAAGCGCGTCCTCCAGACCAAAGGCATCAAGTTCGAAGTGGCGCACAAAGGGTAGGAGCCCCCCGGGGAGCCGGGGGGAAGCCAAGCGGCTCCCGGCAGGAAAAGGGGGCGCAGGGGAGGGCTGGGAGCAGCAGCGGGCGCCTCACGGTGCCCCGCTCGCCCCCTGCTCCCAGGGGCTTGTTCAAGAYGGACCGCGTGGTCGGCACGGCCCAGCTGAAGCTGGAGGCGCTGGAGGCAGCCTGTGAGGTGCGGGACATCGTGGAGGTGAGCGCGGCAGTCCTCACACTGCGCCGAGGCCAGGCTTAACTCGGCACGCGCAAGGCTCGTGTTGGTGGCCCCGGCAGCTCGCGCCGCGCCTGCTCCCGAGGCTCCGACTCGCGTTTCTGACGGGATTTTCCACCCGTTTTCCGCGCTCTCCGTAGCTGCTGGACGGCCGCCGGCCCACGGGGGGGAAGCTGGAGGTGATCGTCCGGATCCGGGAGCCGCTGAGCTCCCAGCAGCTGGAGACGAGGACGGAGCGCTGGCTCGTCATCAGCCCCAGCACCGTGCCGCCGGTGAGGCCCCCGTGGGGACACGGGCCGGGACCCCGCTATGGGGACGCGAGCCGGGTGCCACAGGCAGCTCCGTGGGCACAACACGCGCCGAAGGTGCCCGTGTGCGCGGCCTCGGCCACCTCGTCCCTTAGGAATGAGTCTCAGCCCCTCGTTCCTTCCCGCTGTCCCTCGCAGGTGGCTGTCCCCAAACCCAAGCCGGCTGTCGCTCCCGTCAAGGACRTGGGCAACAGGTACGTGCCGCCCGCTCCAGGTTTCTCCGCGTTCCGCGCTCCTCGGATAAGTGGTTTCCGGGATCCCCGTCATCCCTGTGGCACAAAGGGGCAGTTGAGGCAGGAGGAAGGGGTCCCTGGTAGAGCCCGTGGCAACGGGGCCGCTTTTGTCCCAGCCGGCGGGGACAGGGACGTGGCGTCTTGCCCAGGCTGCTCCTCACGGCCTCTTGTCTCTGCACTTCCCTTCCAGAACGTCCGTCTGCTCCGTGCTGTAGCGAGGCTGGCTCTGCCCGGCCCCTCTCCTCCTCTTCCTCCTCTCCGGCCCCGGAGCTCCTTCACGGAGCAGTTTCCTCCCCCCGGGTGCCAGGAGCGCGTTGGGCACCCCAGGGTGCTGCGAGCTCCCTGTGGCCGAGGTGCGAGGCCCCGTTTTGCCCACGCCGGGGCTGGCAGCAAGGTTTCCGTGCGGGAAGGATGCCGGAAACTCCAGCTCGGGCATTAAAGGCTCCCTAGTTAGACGCAGTGTCCAGGCGGGGACAGGGACGTTGGGCATCGTCCCGGCTTGGCCGGTCGATTCCCTTCCCGGCTCCCGGCATSCAGGGGTCTCCGCTGCTGTGCCGGGCGCATCCCGCGGGAGAGGGCCTGGGAGGAGGAGGAGGAGGAAGGGCAGGCGCAGGCAAGGAGCGAGGCTGGAGGCGGGAGGCTCTGCAGGGCCGGAGCTGGGGCCGAGCGCGCAGCGGCCGCCGCCTTTCCCGGGAATGAACGCGCGGCGCTTCCTGCCTCCGCAGCAAGCCGCTCCGCACGCTGCCCAGCCTCAACCTGCTGGCCTTCGACCGGGACAAGCTGGAGAAGAAGGTGAGCGGCGCGGCGGGGCCGGCGGCGCCCGTGCCTGCTCCGCGCTCACGCTCTGCCCGCGCGCCCAGATGCTCGTGTACCGGCAGGCGCGCCGGCCGCTGCCCAACGAGCTCCTGGAGCAGCACCAGGAGCTGCTCCAGCGGAGCCAGTGGCTGCGCGCGCAGCTCCAGCACGGCCCGCCGGCCTTCCGCAAAGGTGAGCCGCGGCCGGCGGGATGGGGACCCCGCGGAGCCGCCGCTGAGCCCCGCCATTCCCTCCGCACAGAGTACCTGGCGCAGCTGGAGCGCTACCTGCAGCTCTACACGGAGAGCGCGCGGCGCCTGGGCACCGAGGGCAACCGGGTAAGCGGCGCCTGCGGGCGGCCGGCTCGGCACGGCGCGGAGCGGCCGGCTCGGCACGGCGCCTGCCGCCCGCATCCCCCCAGCCCTGCTTTCCCCGGACAGGACGCGGCCAAGGAGGCTCTTTACAAGAGGAATTTGGTGGAGAGCGAGGTAAGAGCCGCCCCGCGTGGTTCCGGGCTCCGGAGCTCGGCTCTTCCGGAGCCAAGCGGTGCCACCGCCCTTCCCGGTGTCTCTTCCAGCTGCAGAAATTCCGCCGATGAGTCGTGCTGGCTCCGACCCCCTTCCCGGCCGGAGCGGAGCCGGCCCCGCTGCGACAATCAGCCCGCGGGAGCCTCCGTGCCCGTGTCAGCCCTCCCCGATCCGGCGGGACCAGCGCTGCTATTCCCTCCCTCCCCGATCTGGTCCCGCCGCCGGCGCCGCTCCCGGTGCCGGTCCCGCGCGCTTTGCACGTGTCCCCGCGCGCCGCGGCCGCCGCCGGCTCTCGCGTGCCCCGTGCTGGGCTCCGAGCCCGGCCCAAAGCGCCGGCTCCGCTCTAAGTGCCTGGCTCCGGGCTGCGCTCCGGCCCCGGAGCCACCGCGGCAGCCGGCGCCGCTTCCCCCGCCCCGGGCTCGCCAGGGATGTCAGAGACAAATTATAAAGTTTCTAAGAAGGATTTGGGCTYGGGAAGGACAGATTTGGCTTCTCCCTCTGTTGAACTGCTGGGCTGTCCCCAGGGGTGAGGGGACGGGGGTGGCAGGGGGGCCCGGGCCTCGCCAGGGCTCCCCGTGCCCACCTGCTCCCACGGGTGTCCCCGGGACCCTGGGAGCTGGAGGTCCCCGCGTGGTGACGTCACCAGCCCTGCCGCCTGTCTCCGGGCAGGGCGGCTGCCATGGGGACGCCAGGTTGACGGTTGTCCCCAGCGCCGTGGTGGCCGCCATGGCGGCCCAGCCTCCTGGTGACCGGTGCTGGGGACGGGTCCCTGGTGGGGGGGTGGCCCCTGGCTGGGTGACACTGTCCCCCTGGCTACAGCCCCGCGTGGGTGACGCGTCCGGCGGGGTGACAGGCCCCAGGCCTGGGCAGGGCCTAGCAACGATCGCCTTGGCAACGGCCCCTCGGTTGCCCTGGCAACGCCCGCCGGGGCGCCCGCGGACCCGCCCACTCCCCAGGGGCCGGGCCCCGCTGGTACCTCTTCTCCATGGCAACCGCCCAAGTGCGGACGGGCAGGAGGGCTGTCCAATCAAAGCACGCCTGCGGCAGGGCGGGAAGGGAAGTCGCTGCATTCTGATTGGGTTTCCCGCCGCGTCGGGGCGGGGCGCAGCGGTGAGCGGCAGCGGCGCGCGGCCAATCGGAAGGGGKCGGGGATCCTCGCGCCGCTGCTTGGCCCAATGAAGCGCGAGGCCCGCGCGGAGCGGGCCAATGGTGGAGCGGCGTGGGCGGGCCGCGGATGGCGGGCCGGGGCGCTCCGGAAGCGGAGGGGGCCGGGGGGAAAATGGCGCCCAGCTCGAAATCGG